CAGGGAGGGGCGGGGCCAGCAGGGAGGGGCGGAGCTGAAGTGAAGGGGCGGGGCTGTCAGGGAAGGGGCGGGGCCGGTGGGCGGGGCCTCTGACGGTCGCCCGGGCCCAGGTGGTGAAGTGGGCACTGGACAAGCTGGAGCTGACCAAGTACGCGGACAAGCCGGCCGGCACCTACAGCGGCGGCAACAAGCGGAAGCTGTCCACGGCCATCGCCCTCATCGGGTCCCCGGCCTTCGTCTTCCTGGTGAGCCGGCGCCGGCCTGCCTGGGTTCTGGGCAAGCCCAGGAGGGAGCGGCAGGCGGGGTGCCCGCTAAGCCCAGTGCCCCCCCAGGACGAGCCCACCACGGGCATGGACCCCAAGGCCCGGCGCTTCCTCTGGAACCTCATCCTGGACCTCATCAAGACGGGGCGCTCCGTGGTGCTGACCTCGCACAGGTGTGCCCCCCGCCTGCCCTCTGACCGCCCCGCCCTCTGCCCTCTGCCCCGTGCCAGCCTGTGCCCTCGCCCGCAGCATGGAGGAGTGCGAGGCGCTGTGCACGCGGCTGGCCATCATGGTGAACGGGCGGCTGCGCTGTCTGGGCAGCATCCAGCACCTGAAGAACCGGTGAGGCGCGGCGGGCGGCGGGCCGTGGGTGGAGGCGGCGGCCGTGGGTGCGGGCGGCGGCCGTAGTGGGGGTACGGGGTGGCCGCTCTGGGCGGTGCGGCTCTGGCCATGGGCCCGTCCGGCAGGTTCGGGGACGGCTACATGATCACCGTGAGGACCAAGAGCAGCCACAACGTGAAGGACGTGGTGCGGTTCTTCAACCGGAACTTCCCCGAGGCTGTGCTCAAGGTGGGGGACCCAGGCCGGGGGGCGGGGGGCACGGCCAACGCAACCTCTGACCTCCCGCCCCCGCCCAGGAGCGGCACCACACCAAGGTGCAGTACCAGCTGAAGTCGGAGCGCATCTCGCTGGCCCAGGTGTTCAGCAAGATGGAGCAGGTGGTGGGCGTGCTGGGCATCGAGGACTACTCGGTCAGCCAGACCACGCTGGACAACGTGAGTGCCGGCCGGGCGCCGGGCGCCGGTCCGCCCCCCGCCCCTCACCCCCTTACTCACCCCTCACCCCCCCACTGCCTGCCTCCCCGCCCTCTCACCCCCCCACCCGCCCCTCTGCCCCCAGGTGTTCGTGAACTTTGCCAAGAAGCAGAGCGACAACCTGGAGCAGCAGGAGACGGAGCTGCCCTCGGCCCTGCAGTCCCCGCTGGGCCGCCTGCTCAGCCTGTTCCGGCGCCGGCCCGCCCCCACCGAGCTGCGGGCGCTGATGGCCGACGAGCCCGAGGACCTGGACACGGAGGACGAGGGCCTCATCAGCTTCGAGGAGGAGCGGGTGAGCCGGCCGGAGGGGTGGTGGCCGGGCTGCAGGGGCTGCGGGCGGGGCCGGCGGCCGGAACAGGCTGAGCAGGCGGCTCAGCGGGCTCCCGGCCCGAGTCTGGGACAGAGGGACCCCGTGCTCGGGACAGACCGCCCCCGGCAGACAGGCCCCCACAGACCCTCCAGGCCGGGAGGCTGGGAGAGGTGGGGAAGGCAGGCAGGGGTGGGGGCACCGGGCTGAGCAGAGGCCGCCCCCCTGGGCGAGGGCGGGGAGGGGGAGAGCATGCCCGGGCCTGGGGCCAGGGGTCGGGCACTGCTGGGTGCCGGGTGCCGCCCTAACCGGCCTGTCTGCCGTCTGCCAGGCCCAGCTCTCCTTCAACACGGACACGCTCTGCTGACCACCAGGCGAGGCTCAGTTCCCCCCGGAGGGGCGGAACTCGGGGGACAGAGCTGGCCCGGTGCCCGCCCAGCAGGCCCTGGAGGGGGAGGTCCAGGACCAAGGGCTCCAGCCTCTGCCCCGGGCCAGGGCCGCCCTCCCCGCATTGTGCCAAAGGCCGCCCGGCCGGCTGACACCCTCCCCCGCTCTGCCTTAAGCCTCAGCCTCGGCCGGAGCCCGGCTTTGCCCGCCCAGCTCGCCCCCCAACCCCCACCCCGGGGCCACCGGGGTGACGCTGCCGGGTGTGCCCGCCCCTCCTGGACCCCCTTCTCTCTGACGACCCGGGCCTGGGCCGGGACTCAGGGGCTGCATCCCGGCCCCGGGCACCCACCTGCTGGGGTTCTGGAAGGGGCGCCAGGACCTGCTTTCGTGCTGGGGGGTCCCCCCTGTGGGCCGGGCAGGGGCTGCTGGAGGCAGCAGGCTGGGTACCAAGGATGGCGAGGCCGGCCCCACTTGCCAGGAGAGGACAGGGGCCCCGACTGCCCCCGGCTGTCACTGCTCCAAACCCAGCCGCCGCCTGCCGCCTGCAGCTGGAGCTGTATGCAGCGCACAGATGTTTGTTTTAAGTAAATAAACAGAAAAGGCCACGCGAGCGTTGTGTCTTGGGGTGACGGGCCCTGGGGACTCAGGGCACCAGCCTGTGGGGGAGGGGCGGGCGGGCAACAGGTCGGCCGGGGGAGGGGGCTCCCACCCCCCAGGCCCTGGCACTGCGGTAGGGAGACCAGGCAGGGGCTGTCCACGGCTCCCCCAGCACCCTCAGCCTGGGCTCCCGCGCTCGGCACCCAAGACGATGGGGTCCTCATGTGCGAGGCTGGGGCAGGCCCTGTGAGGCCTCCCGTGCCCCCTGCCGGGCTCGGGGCCGTGGCGGGCTGGGGTCCGAGGCGGACTGGGGGCCGTGGCGGGCGGGGCTGGCTGCCCGGCTCCTCCCGGCCGGCCGTGGGGGCTCCCAGGGGGAGGGGGACAGAGAGGCTGAGACCCACGTCGGGGAAGGAGCGTGTGCGAAGCTGGTGCCGGGCACGGGGACCTTCCAGGGCTCCCTCCCAGGGGGTGGTGGTCAGTCCTCCCCCTCGGGTGCTTCTGGGACACAGGCCCCCGGAGGGCGGGGTGCACGGCGGGCTTGTCCTTGTCGCCCAGGGGGGATGTGGGGGGCCCTGTCCCGCCATCTCCCGGGCACTTCCTCCCACAGGGACCCTCTGCCTTCACAATAGCCCCACGGCCCCGTGGGATTTGCCAGTAAAAGTCACATCCCCATTATGACTGTCGTCTTTTAAAACTCTATTGTGGCAAAGCATTCGAGGCAGCAGTGTGTTTGCTGTCGCCGTGTGTACGCCCGAGGCCCAGGCTCAGCCCGTGGCTCTGTCCCGTGAGCTCGTCCGTTTTGGAAGCTCTCGCTGGGGCCAGTCCCAGGCCTGCCTCGAACCCGCGCCATCTGGACCACCACTTCTCAGAGTCCTGGTTCCTCTGGGCGAGGGGTCTTGTTTGGGACCCCCATCGGGGCTCTGGCCGTGCTCCTCTCCGTGGGCGGAGCGGGGAAGCACCTGCTGAGGCCCCGCCCACCCCGTGTCCCCTCCCCGCCCGGAGGAGCCTGCAGGGCAGAGCCATTGGATGCTGCTGGGAAGGGCCCCCGGGGGCTGGAACGGGCAGCTTCTCTTTATTATTAGTGTCCATCTCTGGAAGGGGAGGGAGAGGAACAGCCATGATGAGAGGATCATGGGTCGGCTGCCTCCTGCACACCCCACACTGGGGATCTGGCCCACAACCTGACTGGGAATCGAACTCTGACCTCCTGGCTCAGAGGTCGATGCTCAACCCCTGAGCCGCGCCGGCCGGGCAGGCCTGCCCTCTTGACCGAGAATTGGACCCGAGACCCGTTCGTACTTGGGCGGTGCTCTAACCATTGGGCTTGCTGGCTAGGGCCAAGTCTCCCTTCCCGTGAGGGCAGCCGGACCTCACTTTCCTGGAACCCCTTTTTAAAGACTCCACTGCGGCTGCCCTGGAGGTGCTGGGATGCGTGTCTGGCGTGTGAACAAGGGGGCAGCGTCCAGCTCTGAGCCCCACGGACGCTCAGTGAGACACAGGGGCTGTCCCAGAGCTGGTGCACCCCCCCCCCCCCGTTCCGCATCCACAAGGACACGCGTGAGCACCGGCTCCGGCTGCCAGCACGGTCCCCACACACCGCCGGCATGGGACCACGGTGCCGGCCTGCCGCCCGGCCGTCTGCACTCTCGGAGCTGCGGCTCCACAAGGCTGAGGGCGCGTGTTCTCACAGCCGCGGGGAGCCAGGGTTCGGGGGCAGGACCCGCACAGGGCAAGCCCCCGGCGGCCGAGGGGCCCCGAAACGCCCGCGGGAGGCAGGAGGCCCCGAGGGGAGCGGACACCACGCTCCACCGGGAGCCCAGGCTGGGGCGTGGCCTGGGCCCAGGAGCCGGGTGGCCGTGGGGTCGGGGAAGGGCCCCCAGAGCCGAGCCCCGCAGGGCCTGTGGCTCGGGGCGGGGAGCGTCAGGCAGATCCCGCTCTGGCCGCCTGGGAGGAGTGAGGAGGTGCAGCCTGCAGGGCTGTGGGCGCTGGTTCCCGGCTCCCGCTGCGGGTGGGGAGGGCCAGCCCGTGGGCCAGGGGTCATGGCCTCGAGCCCCTCCCGTTAGCGGCGAGGGAAGGAGCCCGGCACTTGGGAGGGGAGGCCGTGGTCCCGGGCGGACACTGAGCCGGGCCGGTCTTCGGGCTCGGCGGGCAGGGGCCCCACCTGGGCAGCGGGTCGGCCCGATGGAGTCAGTGGGTGGAGGAGGCCCCCTCTCTGGGGCTCACCCTCTTGTGAGGCAGCAGAAGGGGGACGGAGGCCGGGGCCCAGCTGATCCTCCCTCCTGCCAGCTCCCAGCTTCCTTGGCCGGGTCCCAACCGCCCTACACCGGGTGTTCCCTCCAGGGCAGCGGGCTGCACAGGGTGTGTGTGTGCGTGTGAGATGATCCAGTGCTGCCTCCCAGGCTGACCCCGCCCCCCCCCGCTGTCATGGCTCCTAGTCCACTAATCACGGCCTCCACCTCCCCGGGACCCCCTGACACACTCAGACCCTCAGGCCCAGCCCCTCCACGCGGTTCCCCTAGGCCGCATCCTCAGCCTGGACACGACCCCCCGCTGCCAGCGCCGGCCTCCCGCCTCCCAGATGGCTCCGCGGGCCGGGCCTGGGACGGAGGGCGTGGCCTGAGGCAGAAGGGAGGGGCCTGGGCCAGAGGGCGGGGCCTGGGCCAGAGCCTTAAAGAGCCCCGCGCCCCGCCCAGCACTGTGGCTCCACCATGGCCCAGACTGCCAAGCTCCAGCTCTTCGTCAAGGTGCCGGCGGGCTGCGGGGCGGGGCGGGGGCTCGGGACGAGCTCTGTGGGTGCCACTGTCTCGGGGGAAAGGGGCTGCAGGGTGGGTCTCCGTGGCAGTGTCTGCGCCCCTTCCCTGGGGTGGGCGGGCTCAGGCGCCCTGCGGGAGCTGAATAGAACGGGGTTAGCCCGAGGGGAGAAGGGCCCCGAAAGGGCTAAGGGTGGCCCTGTCCCAACGCCCCCTGGGCTCCTGGGCCGGGCAGCCCCTCAGCAGGGAGGTGCCAAGCAGGTGGCCAGAGGCCAGGCCGGCGGGGAGCTGGGGATCGATGCCAGAGGGGTGTCCTCGGCCCTCTGGCACTTTCTGGGCAGCGGGCGGCTGGTGCCCGGCCTCGGTGCCCGGCTGGCTGTCCCGTGAATCATTCTGAAACCAGCTCCCTGGGCCGACCCCGCCCAAAACCAGCCTGTGGGGCTGGAGCCCAGGGCCCTGGCCTCTACCCAGGCTCTTCAGATAAGGGCTGAGGGCCAGGCCCCAGCGCCAGAGTCCACCGGCCCCGTGCCCGCTCCCAGCCTCCAGGTCCGGGGCCCTCCCCCCCCAGGACCACGTCAAGGACCCTCACCAGCCGCTTCTGAGTCTGGCCGGGCTCCAGCCTCTTGGCAGCGGGAGGCCAGGCCCCACTGGCCTGGGGGCAGGATACCTGTCTGCTCTTTGCTCTGACCCCCACCCCCACCCCCACCCGCAGGCGAGCGAGGACTGTGAGAGCGTGGGCCACTGCCCCTCCTGCCAGCGGCTCTTCATGATCCTGCTCCTCAAGGGCGTGCCCTTCATGCTCACCACCGTGGACACCCGCAGGTGAGCACCCCGGGCCCTGCCCCTGCCCCTGCGCCCTCCCCGCTGGCCACTACCCCGCTCCCTGCGCCCGCAGGTCCCTGGACGTGCTGAAGGACTTTGCGCCCGGCTCCCAGCTGCCCATCCTGCTCTACAACGGCGAGGCCAAGACGGACACGCTGCAGATCGAGGAGTTCCTGGAGGAGACGCTGGGACCCCCCGCGTGAGCGTCCTGGCTCGGCAGGAGGGGCCCCAGGACAGAGCCCGGTGGGTGCTGTGGGCAGTGCCAGGGTCTGACCCTCTCCCCTCCCCCCCCAGGTTCCCCAGCCTGGCGCCCCGCTACCGGGCGTCCGCCACGGCGGGCAACGACGTCTTCGGCAAGTTCTCGGCCTTCATCAAGAACCCCGCCCCCGGGCAGGACGACGGTGAGGGGGGCGTCCTCGGGGAGGGTCCCCCGGGGAGGGTCCGGGGGCGCCCTCCGGGCCGGGACTCACCGGGCGCCCGCACCCCAGCCCTGTACCAGCAGCTGCTGCGCGCCCTGGCCAGGCTGGACGGCTACCTGCGGGCGCCCCTGGAGGACGAGCTGGCCCGCGAGCCGGGGCTGCGGGAGTCCCGCCGCCGCTTCCTGGATGGGGACCGGCTCACGCTGGCCGACTGCGGACTGCTGCCCAAGCTGCACATCGCGGACGTGAGCGGGGGCCGGGCCAGGGGCGCGGGCGGGCAGGCGGGGGGTGCGGGCGGCGAGGCCCTGACCCAGCCGGGCCCCCCTCCCCGCAGACGGTGTGCGCGCACTTCCGGGGGGCCCCCATCCCGGCCCAGCTGCGCGGCGTCCGCCGCTACCTGGACAGCGCGCTGCAGGAGAAGGAGTTCAAGTACACGTGCCCGCACAGCGCCGAGATCCTGGCGGCCTACCGGCCGGTGGTGCACACCCGCTGAGCCCCCGCCCCTGCCCCTGCGCCCCCACAGCCCCATGAAGCCACTGACCTCCTGGGCCGGACGCCCCCCGGTGGGCTGCTCGGATGACGGACAGCCCAGAGCCACAGGGGCAGAGACTGGTCGGGCGCCGCCCATCCCCCTGCCCGGGGAGGACGGACCGGATCAGGCTCCCAAACCAGTCAGTCCGGGGCGGAGCGGCAGGATGGCCAGGAGGGCGGGGAGCAGAGCCCAGCCCGAGCACCTGAGGGCGCCCAGCCAGTGGGTGGGGTGGCCCGCATTCCTCAGCCCCACCCAGGCAGCAGGCCACCCCCATCTCTCCCAGGGCCTGTGTGCAGGCTGTGGGGTGCTCGAGGCCATGCCCTGCTGGGCGGGGGGAGAGGGGTGTGCCCCAGGGGAGGACGGAGTTCCAGGCTTGGGGAGCCCCGGCCCAGCCCTGCATGCCCCCCCCCCAGGCAGCTCCTGGGCTGGCACCGGCCTGTGGCCCACACCCAGGTGGCAGGGCCATGGGGGACGACGCCGGACCCCTCTCCCAGCCAGCCAGCCCCCAGAGCCAGAGCCTCGCCTGACCGGCCGGCCGTTTACTGAACGGGGGAGGGGCTCGGAGGCTGGACCTCGAGACTGCCCCTCTTCTCACAGGCAAACTCCGGGCAGCGGGACCCCACTCTCCGCAGCAGGGTCAGAGGTCATCAAAGTCGACGCCACTGGCCGGTTTCTTACTGGGAGGGAAGAGGGTGTGTGAGGAGGTGCAGAGGGGAGGGGTGGCCCCGGGCACAGGGGGAGGGCATGGGCGGCACCTTTTGAAGCCGGGGTTGATGAGGGACTCTCCGGGGCTCCGCCTCCTGACCCCAGGCCCAGGGCCGCCTCTCTGAGAATCTGGGTCTGGGGGAGCAGGAGGGAGGGGGTCTGCATACCATGGGACCCCAGCCCCCCCATCCCGCTGCCCCAGACAGCGCCTCTCTGGAGTTGGGGTTTGTTCTGGGGCCGCGGTCGGCAAACTCATTAGCTAACAGAGCCAAATATCAACAGCACAACGACTGAGATTTCTTTGGAGAGCCACGTTTTTTAAACTTAAACTTCTGCTAACGTCACTTCTTCCACATAGACTTGCCCAGGCCGTGGTGTTTTGTGGAAGAGCCGCCCTCCAGGGGCCAAAGGGCTGCATGTGGCTCGAGAGCCGCGGTTTGCCCACCATGGTTCTGGGGAAAACGAGTCCCAGAGGCATGGGCACAGCCCAGGCCCCGGCCCCGGGGAGGCCTTACCTGGTGAGAAGGGCAGAGGCCCCCCTGGCCGAGGGCTCTTCCTGGGGCTGGCGGCCGTCTCCTCTGCGGCTGCGAGGGGAGGGGAGGCCAGGAATGGAGGCACCGCCTGGGACCCAGGGAGACTGTGGGGTACGCCCTCCCCGATCCTACCTGCCAGCTGCCGCTCCAGGCTGCACACACGCTCGGCCAGGCTCAGCGTCAGTGCCTGCAGCCTGGGGGCAGCCTCGGGGCCCGGCACTTCAGAGAGGTCAAAGTCCAGCGGCCAGGGCCCCCCAGAGAGGGTCAGGGACGCCCCGTCCCCCTGCGGAGTGAAGGCCACCGCTTGCCGCTGGAAGGCTGCCCTGGGGAGGGAGGAGGTGAGCGCTGGGCCGGACCCAGCGGCTCCGGGCCTGCCCATCCGTCCCACCAGCTCGGGGCTCACCTGAACTGGGGGGCGAGGTCCTCTGCCGCGCTCAGGCCGCATCGGGCGTTCTGCAGGGCGAGGGGCGGTCACCGAGGCACCCCAAACCTGCCCGACCCGGAGCACCCTGGACCCCAAGCCCGTCTTAGGGCGACAGCTCAGAGCCGGGGACAGGGCCCGCCCCGCCCTCCACCCGCGGGGTCCGTTACCCACCAGGGCCGCCAGGCGGGCGGGCGGGAAGCAGGTGCTCCAGAGCCGCGCGCCATCCGTCACGCTGCGGGAGGGACTGTCAGCGGCCGCCCGGGAGCCGCCCGCCCCGCCCCCGGGCCCACACTCACTGCAGGCGGAAGCCGCGCCGGCCCCCGGCGCCCCGCTCCTCCTCGCCCCGCTCCTCCTCGCCCCGCTCCTCCTCGCAGAAGCACACGAAGCGCGGGGGCCCCGGGCCCGGCGGCAGCGTGCAGAGCGCGGCCCAACGCGGCGGCGCGGCCATGCTCCCTCCCGCGCTCGAAGCGCCCAAGCGCCTGCGCAGGGCAAGAGGCGGGGCGGGGCCTGCGCGGGGGGCGGGCCCTGGGCGGGGCCTACGCCGGGCCCATCAGACTCAGGCCCGTGCCGGGTGATAGTGTATGGGCGGGGCTTCGTCACGGGGCGGAAACTAGGGGCGGGGCTATATCAAGGCGGGGGATGGGGCGGAGCTTAGTAACCGTGCGAATACTAGGGGCGGGGCTACACCTGGGGCGTGGTCACGTCGCTGGAGTGGGCCTTAGTGCGGGGCGGGGCTGTGTCGCTGGGGGCGGGGGTTAGTTCGGGCGGGACTCCGGGATTGATCGAGGTTGGGCTGCGCCGCGTGGTGGCGGCTCAGGCGCCTGTGACCGCGGAGCGGCGGTTTCTGTTTGGGGCCTCACTCGCCCGCCCCCTCCTCCCGCCCCGGGAGCCGGGGTTCCCGCCTTCGCGTGCAGACCCAGCCCGGCCCCGCCTGTGCATCTGCGTCCCTCGGTGGCTGCCCCGGCGGCCGCACCGGGAACTGCACACCGGCCTCCGCCCTCCCGGAGGAATCGCTCAGGAGCCTTCAGACACAGACAAACAGCGTCTCATGCCGGACACGCCGACACAGACTGAATAAAGGACGTGGACCAGCCCAAAGCCCGCTGCCTGGCTCCCCGTCCCGGCCTGCGCCCGGAGCCTAGGGAGGGGGGGCAGGGCCTGCGGGCTCAGGCCGCCCCAGGGGGTGAAGGCACAGGTCTCAGGTCTCAGCGCCGTGGTCATCTGCCCTGAGTGGGGAGGGCGGACACCCCGCCTCTGACCTGCCCCCCCAGCAGGCCCCCAGGCAGAGCGGCCAGAGCAGGCCCAGGCGGCCTCAGGTGACCGACCACAGGACAGACACACAGACACTGCCAGCTGCTTTAGATTTTATTCTCAGAGGAGGACAAAGCCGAGGGCCGGAGTGGTGGTCGGGGAGCCAGGGCTGGGACTCGGGGTCACCGAGAGCATGGAGCAGGGCGGCCGGCCAGGTCCTGAGGGCCCGTCACCTGCCTGAGAACAGGAGGAGCTGGAGCAGGCGGCCCGCCCTGCCCCTCCCCACTGCCCCGCCCCACTGCACCCCAGTGCACCCATCCCAGGATCTGCAGCCTCCCCAGCAGCCCAGGCTACCGGGGAGGGGAAGCCCCAAGGTCTCCTGGGACCTCCACATCAGATCCCACCCCAGCCCCAGCCCCTCCTGCCTCGCTGGACCCCACGGGGGAGTCCCGCCCCTTGGGCTGGCCCCTGCAGGCCAGGGACCCCCTTGCATGGCGGGTTGAATGGCGGGTGAGGCCAGCCCACAGCCCACTCACCTACTGCGAGACATCCATGCACTTGCCTGCGGAGAAAGAGGCGAGGGACGGCAGCGGTCAGTGCCTGGGTCAGGGCCACTCCCGCCCCTCCCCTCCCACCTCTCACCCATCCCCAGCTCCATCACTCCCAACCCTCCCCAACCCCCGCTGCAGACAGGCGGCCTGACCCCCAGGGCCCAGGGCCTGAGCCTCGGGGCGCCCACGTTCGGGCCCCAAAGTGCTGCTGCCGCGGTGCCCACAGCGCCCGCCCCCACCCGCTGGAGACGCCTGAGTCTGGGCCGACAGGGCCTGGCCCCCCGGGGGTGCTGGTTGGAGGGGGGCTGTGGGCCACGGTCGTGGGGGAGGACAGGGCCCCCTGTGTAGGCCATGCCGCTGCTCAGGGTGGTCTGGCCTCCGGGAGCGAGGAGACTGTCCGCTCTGACCGGCTGCAGCCCGCTGCCCGCCCGAGGTGGCCCCTCACCCGTGTACGGCGGAAAGAGGATGTCCTCCTCGGGGAAGCCCTTGGCGGCGGCGAAGGCGGTGAACTTGTCCTTCACAGCGTCCTCCGGGGTCTCAGTGCGGCCTGGGCGGGGCGGACGGGGACCGGAGGCCTCAGATCTGCCTCCCCGCGTGGGCGTGCCCCCCTCCCGAGGGCCTGAGGCCGGGGAGGTACGGGGGAGGGAGGACGGGGCGGGGGGTACAGGGCAGGGGGCCAGAGGGGTTCGGGGCGGGGCAGGGGGGTACGGGTAGAGGGTACGGGGCGGGGGTGGGGGGCAGGGCTAGGGGGTAAGGGGGGGTACGGGGCTGGGGGGTGGACAGGGGAGGAGGGACAGGGCGGGGAGGGTGGTCAGGAGGGTAGGGGGAGGCGGGCACGCACTGTACAGCGTGGCCAAGTGGAAGCCGTTGTGTTCTCGCCGGCGCACACAGTGTACAGCAGTGCATACTCGCTGTCCGTCTCCTCCACCCACAGGTCCTGCGTGTTGCCCCAGACTGCGGGCCACAGTGACCACATGGGCGACCCTGCCCCGACCTCCGGCTGCCTTCCCCCCCTCCCTCCCACCTCCTGCCCGCACAGCCTGGGCACTGCCGGAGCCAGGGGACCCCCGCACCCCCACCCGTTCCCAAACCGGAGCCCGGGGGCAGCCAGCACACAGGCTCAGACAACGAGGGGGTCAGGGTGCAGCCACCAGCCCCTCTGCTCAAAGGGGGAAGGAGACCCATCGCCCCGGAGAGGGAGGAGCCCAGGATGGGGTGCTGTCGCCTGCCCGTCCAGCAGGGGGAGCAGCAAGGTCTGGGGAGACCCCAGGGGGCAGGGCGGGGCCAGCAGGACTGGCTCCACAGCAGGTCCTGGTGTCCCCCCCACCCCCACCTCCCCACCCCCCGCTTCGGGCAGATCCAGCCAGAGGCCAGCTCGGAAGGGAGGCCCTCAGCCTGCTGGGTTGGGGTGCTGTCACCCGCAGTGCATCCAGGCCGCCGGCGTGGGTGTCACTCACAGGGGCTGGTGTAGGTGTAGTGGCCGGGGGTGTTCGTTGGCGACAGCAGCATGCTCCGCGTCTCATACTCCTCTCTCCTGCGGGCAGGGCACTGTCGGGGTCAAGCGTGGGGCTCCCGGCCGGCAGCCAGCCACGGGGGCAGGCCGGGCCCTGGGGGAGCCCTCAGCCCGATGCCCCCCCAGCCCCACCCCACCTGGGGAAGCTGGTGGTGAGGTTGAGGACTCCATCCCCTTGCTCGGGCTCGGCCGGGGCCACCACGACCAGGCACATGGACTGGGAGTCCTTCTGCTCCAGGAACCAGCTGGCGTTGGAGGCCAGGCCCACGGCGAACCAGCGCCCCAGGAACTGCGGACAGACCCCCATCAGCCAGGCACCCCGCCCTCCATGTCCCGTGGCCAGTCTGCCCCCCGCCCAGCGCCTCGCGGAGCGGCAGCTCAGGGCACTGGGCCGTTTGGGGGGGCTGGAGCTTGGCCGCTGGTGTCCACGACTCTGGATGCTCCAGGGAAGGGCAGGGCGGCGGGCGGACCCAGTGCCAGGCCCACGGGAGTCTGCGGCCCCCCAGCCCCGCCCTGTCTGCATCTCCCGCCGGGGGGTGTCCCAGCTCCGTGCCTGCGCCCCCCAGCACCCCGAGCTCTGAGGGTGACTGTTTGGAGGGTAGGCAGGCAGGGGGCCGGCGTGTCTGCGGGTCCCGTGTGAGGCCTGTGGACACGGGCTTCCCCGCTGGAGGAAGGGCAGCGTGGCCGGTCGGTCCTCTCCCCGGGGGACTGCCCAGGCAGAGCCCCTCCCTCCGCAGAGCCCTCCCCGGGGGACCGGCAGGGGCCCCACCTGGTCCAGCTGGAAGCCGGCCAGAGCCGGGGCCGGCAGGACCCCCAGGGCCCCCAGCAGGACCAGCGCCATCCACAGGGAGCACGGAGCGGCCATCGTGGCTGAGCGGTTGTCAGAGTTGGAGGCAGGAGCAGCAGTGAGGCCAAGTGCGAGTTGCACGACGGCAGAGCCGGGAGGACCCTATTTAAGGGCCCGGCTTGGCCTGTGCCCAGAGCCAAGGCCGGCCCTGAGGCGCATGACACCTCAGCTCCCCCCACCCCCAGCTCTTCCCGCAAAGGCTCCGATCCCACAGGCAATCTGCCCGGGGGCTGGGGCTGGGGGCAGGCAGGGCCCTTTCCAGAGACAGAACCTGCCCTGGTGCTGATGGGGGAGGGCACTCAACTGCAGCCCTGCCTGTCCCTGGCCTGCAGGCCGCTGCCGCCTTGGGGTGTGCTGGACACTGGGGTGGGGGCCCCTCCTGCCACCCCCCAGAAACAGGTGCTGGGCCCTGGCACTGCCTCCGGACTCACGGGCACAAGGGGGCCGGGGACCTCAGGCCCGGTGCAGGGGGGACCCCAAGAGGCTGCCTGGGGGCACCCCAAGAGGCCTGTAAGCTGAGCTCAGTTACCCAGCAGACATGAGGCTGCTTCGTCCCTGAGCGGCATGGGCCAGAACAGGGCTGGGGGGGAGGCGGCCGCTCGCCTGCTGCGCCAGACACTGGGGTACAAGGCGCTGCCCCGTCCTCAAACTGCCCCGGGCCACCCCCAGACCACACCCAGGCCATCCCCACACCACCCCAGACCAACCCCAGGCCACCCCCAGGCCACCCTGTTGTGGGGTTGAACCCTGGGTTCAAAATAAGACCACCGGAGGCTAATTAATTAATTTTTTTAAAAAAAAGCAGGCAGGGATTTATTGAACTGGCCAGTACAGCCGCAAGAGCACCACACACAAGTGGTCTCCACACGACTGCACCGTTTCAGGGTAGGCAATTCCTTTTAAAGGTTTAAACCTCAAGAATTTTCCTTTTGTTCCTAAAACCCTAAAGACTAAATTCTAAAGACTGGGGAAAGCCAGCAGGGTCGGTTCCAGTCATGTCCTGCTGTACGTTGGAATGTGGTCCTGTCTTGCAATAGCGATAACACAGAAGCAGAGCTCAGCAGTTAGTCTCTAAAGGTTATCTACAGTTTCTATCCCTGAAGCTACTGAGTCAGTTGGAGTCATTCTCTCGTGGTCCTGGTCCCAGGCAAGGGAAAATTGCCTTAGCCTCCAGGTCTTCTCCTGGAAGCTGAGGTAAGTACCCTGTGTTTTAATCAGATGCAGGGGCCAAACTAGGAGGGTTACAATTCAAATAGCAGTTTTTACCAAAGTATGGTTGCCACTATATTTCAATCCCAGGCCACCCCCAGGTCACCCCAGGCCACACCCAAGCCACCCCCAGGCCACCCCAGACCACCCCCAGGCCACACCCAGAACACCCAGGCCACACCCAGACCACCCCAGACCACCACCAGGCCACACCCAGATCACCCCCAGACTACCCCAATACCACCCCCAGGCCACTTCCATACTGCCCCAAAGCCACCCCAGACCACCACCTGGCCACCCCCAGGCGGCCCCAGACCACCCCCAGGCCGCCCCAGGCCACCCCCAAGCCACCCCAGGCCACCCCAGACTGCCCCCAGGCCACCAAGAGGCCACCCTGTTGTGGGGTCGAACCCTGGGTTCAAAATAAGACCACCGGAGGCTGATTAATTAATTTAAAAAAAAAGAAGGCAAGGATTTATTGAACTGGCCAGGACAGTTGCCAGAGCACCACACGCAGGTGATCTCCACACGACTGCACCGTTTCAGGGTAGGCAATTCCTTTTAAAGGTTTAAACCTCAAGAATTTTCCTTTTGTTCCTAAAATCCTAAAGACTAAATTCTAAAGACGGGACAGCCAGCAGGGTCTGTTCCCAGTCACAGCCTACTGGACGTGGGAATGTGGCCCTATCTTGCGATAGCGATAACACAGAAGCAGAGCTCAGCAGTTAGTCTCTAAAGGTTATCTATAGTTTCTATCCCTGAGACAGTGGGAATTATTCTCTTGTGGTCCTGGTCCCAGGCAAGGGAAAATTGCCTTAGCCTCCAGGTCTTCTCCTGGAAGCTGAGGTAAGTACCCTGTGTTTTAATCAGATGCAGGGGCCAAACTAGAAGGGTTACAATTCAAATAGCAGTTTTTACCAAAGTATGGTTGTCACTATATTTCAACCCCGGGCCACCCCCAGGCCACCCCCAGGCCACCCCAGACCACCACCAGGCCACCCCAGACCCCCCCCTCTTCCCGGAGCTGGAGAGCAGCCTGACCGGGGACGGGCAGGACACAACTGGAGCAGCGTCCCCACAGCCGTCAGCCGGCCCCAGGGCCGCTGGCTCTGTCCCCTGCGGCTCTTGCACGCTGGGAGGCCGGGCTCCAGTGGGGCACGCAGCACCTTCACGTGGGAACCCCAGGGACTGACTTCACAAGGCCCCGGCTCGGCCCTCGGGCACGGGCTGACTTTCAACCTTAACCAGGACGGACGGACCAGGCTGGCTCTCACCAGTCGGGACCAGTCTGAGGTCTTGTCGGAATGGGCCGTGGGGATCCGTGTACAGACCCCTCCCCCCACGGTTCCTCTGCTCCCCCTCCCCCTCCTGAGCTCCGGGCCCGCCTGCCGGTGCCCACAGTGGGTGGGTGTTGGCCTAAGGCTGCGGGTCCCATCCGTGCTCTGCTCTCACCCTCCCAGTCCCTTCCCCTCTCTCTGAAAGTCAGTAAGAAACCAAACCAGCCGAAACCGGTTTGGCTCAGCGGTAGAGCGTAGGTCTGCGGACTAAAAGGTCCCAGGTTCGATTCCGGCCAGATGCATGTACATTGGTTGCGGGCACATCCCTGATAGGGGGTGTGCAAGAGGCAGACAGTCGATGTTTCTCTCTCATCGATGTTTCTAGCTCTCTATCTCTCTCCCTTCCTCTCTGTAAGAAAATCAATAAAATAAAAAAAGAAAAAAAAGAAAAAGAAACCAAACCAAGCCAAATCCCGTGCCCTGGCGGCTGTGAGCATGGCCTGTGGTTGCGGCTCCTGAATAAATCGTCTTTTCTCTCCCAGCACCTAGTGCTCCTGTTCAAAGGGGCAGGGAGCCCCCCGGGGCTCCGCATCCTGAGGGCAGGGCCAGCTCTGTGGCCCCGGGGCCCGGCCAGGAGGGAGGGTGCCCAGGCGGGAGGGCACCAAGGAGGGTGGTCGCCCAGGCGGGAGGGGGCCCAGGCGGGAGGGCGCCCCAAGTGGGAGGGTGCCCCGCCCTCTGGGGGGTCCAGTGAGGGCCGACACCGCCTGGGCCAGCCCCGGCGCTCCGGATGCCGCCACCCACCCCATGCGGTCGCCCGGTGTCTGGGCCGGCTCCTCAGGGCACCCAGTGTGTGCCCGCTGGGGGAGGGTGTGGGCACAGATGGGGCCAGGCCCCGGGGACGGCTGTGCCTGGACGTGGCCTGGCCCTGGGGAGGGAGGTTTGGCGAGGAGTGAGGATGGGGGCAGGTGGGAGAGCAGCAGGGGCTCACTGCCCAGGGGCTCACCCCGTCCCCAGGCCTGGCCCCCCAGCCGGGCTCCATCAGCTGCCACAGCTGCCTCTCAGCTCCCTGAGCCTGGGCATCAGGCAGGGTGGGGCCGGGAATCTGGGCAGGCTCCTGGCTGGAGGAGTGGGGTGCCAGGCAAGGAGCTGAGGGCCGGGGCTGTCTTGCTCTGCCCCCCAGATGGGGAAATGTTGGGGGTCCCCCTTCACGTGCCCCCTCCCGCTCCCCAGAAATGAGCAGGTTGACCGGGATCAGGGCTCCAAGCAGCTTTATCTGTAAAACCTAGAGGGGGACGTAGGCGATCTCACCCCCCCACGCCGAGCCCAGACCACGCCCGGTCACGCCCGGTCACGCCGGGCTGCCCCCTCTGTCCTGAACCCCAGCAGGCTCAGCCACTGCTGTGAGCTGGCACAGGCTCGTCACCCCAGATGGCGCTCATACGTGCATGAGTGCGTATGCATGCAGGTGTGTGCGTTTCTATGTGTGTGCAAAGAGTGTGCATGTCTTTGTGTGCAATTCTTTGTGTGCATGTCTGTGTGTCTGTGTGTTCATGTCTATGTGTGCACGTGTGTGTATACATGTTTGTGCACATCTCTCTGTGAAACATGTGTACGTGAAACGTGTGTCTGTGTGCGTGCCTGTGTGTGCAACATGTGTGCATGTGAATGTCTGTGTGTGCAGGTCTATGTGTCTCTGTGAGTGTGTGCATGTCTCTGTGTGTCTGTGTGTGCACGTCTCTGTGTCTCTCTGTGTGTGGAGGTGAATGTGGGGATGGGAGGGGGTGTGGAGGTGGGTGTGGGGAGGGGAGGGGGTGTGGAGGTGGGTGTGGGGAGGGAATGTGGAGGTGGTTTTGGGGGGGGACGAGGGGTGGAGGTGGATGTGGGGAGGGGAGGGGGTGTGGAGGTGGGTGTGTGATGGGAGGGGGTGTGGAGGTGGGTGTGGGGAGGGGAGTGGTGTGGAGGTGGGTGTGGGGAGGGGAGGGGGTGTGGAGGTGGGTGTGGGGAGGGGAGGTGGTATGGAGGGGGTGTGGGGAGGGGAGTGTTGTGGAGGTGGGTGTTGGGAGGGGAGGGGGTGTGGAGGTGAGTGTGGGGAGGAGTGGGTTGGGGAGGTGGGTGTGGGGCTGTTGGCCCTCTGAGCCCCCCCGTCGCCGGCAGGTGTACAAGTCGCGGAAGATCGGCAGCATCCTGGCCGTGGACCGCCTGTGCCTGGGCGTGCGCCCCGGCGAGTGCTTCGGCCTCCTGGGCGTCAACGGCGCCGGCAAGACCTGCACCTTCAAGATGCTCACGGGCGATGAGAGCACCACGGGCGGCGAGGCGTTCCTCAAGGTCAACAGGCACAGGTGCCGGGGCGTCCGGCGGGTGTCGGCGGGTCTGAGGGGGCGCCAGGCTGGTCAGGAAAGGTCAGGGCGGGTCTGAGGGGGCGCGGGGCGGGTCTGGCGGACACCGGATGGTCTGAGTGGGCGCTGAGGGTCTGAGGGGGCGCCGGGTGGGTCTGGGGAGGTCTGAGGGGTGCTGGGCGGGTCTGGCAGACACCGAAGGGTCTGAGGGGGCTCAGGGCGGGTGTAGGCGGGTCTGAGGGGGCGCGGGGCGGGTCTGGCGAATACCGGAGTGTCTGAGGGGATGCCGGGCTGGTCAGGGCGGGTCTGAGGGGGCGCCGCGCGGGTCGGGGCGGGTCTGAGGGGGCAGCTAGTGGGTCAGGGTGGGTCTGAGGGGGCGCCTTGCGGATCTGGCGAACACCGGAGGGTCTGAGTGGGCCCCGAGAGTCTGAGGGGGCGCCGGGCGGGTCTGGGGAGGTCTGAGGGGGCGCCGGGCGGTTGTGGGCGGGTCTGAGAGGGCGCCGGGCGGGTCTGGCCGACACTGGAGGGTCTGAGGGGGCGCCAGGCAGGTCTGGCGGACACCAGAGGGTCTGAGGGGATGCCGGGCGGGTGTGGGTGGGTCAGGGCGGGTCTGAGGGGGCGCCGGGCGGGTCTGGTGGGGTCTGAGTGGGCTCTGGGCGGGTCTGGCGGACACCGGGGGGTCTGAGGGGACGGCGGGCGGATGTGGGCGGGTCCGAGGGGGCGCCGGGCGGGTCTGGCGGACACCGGAGGGTCTGAGTGGGCGCCAAGAGTCTGAGGGGGCGCCGGGCGGGTCTGGGGAGGTCTGAGGGGATGCCGGGCGGGTGTGGGTGGGTCAGGGCGGGTCTGAGGGGGCGCCGGGCGGTTGTGGGCGGGTCTGAGGGGACGGCGGGCGGTTGTGGGCGGGTCTGAGGGGGCGCCGGGCGGGTCTGGTGGGGTCTGAGTGGGCTCTGGGCGGGTCTGGCGGACACCGGAGGGTCTGAGTGGGCGCCTAGGGTCTGAGGGAGCGCCGGGTGGGTCTGGGGGGGTCTGAGGGGGCGCCCGGCGGTTGTGGGCGCGTCTGACGGGTGCCGGGCGGTTGTGGGCGGGTCTGGGGCGCCGGGCTGGTCTGGGCGGGTCTGAGGGGCCGTCCGACGAGTCTGGTGGACACCGGAGGGTCTGAGGGGATGCCGGGCAGGTCTGGGCGGGTCAGGGCGTGTCTGAGGCGGCTCCGGGCGTGTGTGGGCTGGTCTGAGGGGGCGCCGGGCGGGTCTGGCGGACACCGGATGGTCTGAGGGGACGGCGGGCGGATGTGGGCGGGTCAGGGCGGGTCTGAGGGGGCGCTGGGCGGGTGTGGGCGGGTCAGGGCGGGTCTGAGGGGGCGCTGGGCGGGTGTGGTCGGGTCTGAGTGGGCGCCGGGCGGTTGTGGGCGACTCTGAGGGGGCGCCGGGCTGGTCTGGCGGACACCGGAGGGTCTGATGGGGCGCCGGGTGGGTCAGGGCGGGTCTGAGGGGGCCACGGGCGGGTCAGGACGGGTCTTAGGGAGCACCTGGCGGGTCTGGCGTCGGGCGGGTCTGGCGGACACCGGAGGGTCTGATGGGGCGCCGGGTGGGTCAGGGCGGGTCTGAGGGGGCCACGGGCGGGTCAGGACGGGTCTTAGGGAGCACCTGGCGGGTCTGGCGTCGGGCGGGTCTGGCGGACACCGGAGGGTCTGAGGGGGCGCCGGGCGGGTCTGGGTGGGTCAGGGCGGGTGTGAGGGGACACCGGGCTGGTCTGGCGGACACCGGAGGTTCTGAGAGGTCGCCAGGCGGGTCAGGGCGGGTCTGAGGGGGCGCCGGGTGGGTCTGGCGGACACCGGAGGGTCTGAGGGGATGCCTGGCGGGTCTGGGGGACACCGCAGGGTCTGAGCGGGCGCCTGGCGGGTGTGGGCGGGTCTGAGGGGGCGCCGGGTGGATCTGGCGAACACCGGAGGGTCTGAGGGGATGCCGGGCGGGTCTGGGGGACACTGGCGGGACTGGGCAGGCGGGTGCCGGGCGGGTCTGAGCAGGTCCAGGTTGGTCTGGCGGCACCGGGCAGTTCTGGGCGGTTGCCCGGCGGGTCTGGGGGGCACCGGGCAGGCGCCGGGTGGGTCTGGGTGGGCAGCAGGCGGCGGAGGCTGGCTGCGCCCATGCTCACGGCCTGCGCCCACAGCATCCTCAAGGAGCCGCTGGAGGTGCAGCAGAGCCTGGGCTACTGCCCGCAGTTCGACGCCCTGTTCGACGAGCTCACGGCCCGCGAGCACCTGCAGCTCTACACGCGGCTGCGCGGCATCCCCTGGAAGGACGAGGCCCAGATGGGGCCGCCCCGGGGCTGGGCGTCAGGGAGGGCGGGGGCGGCAGGAGGAGTGGGGCAGGGCGGGAGGGGCGGGGCCAGCAGGGAGGGGCGGAGCTGAAGTGAAGGGGCGGGGCTGTCAGGGGAGGGGAGGGGCCGGTGGGCGGGGCCTCTGATGGTTGCCCGGGCCCAGGTGGTGAAGTGGGCACTGGACAAGCTGGAGCTGACCAAGTACGCGGACAAGCCGGCCGGCACCTACAGCGGCGGCAACAAGCGGAAGCTGTCCACGGCCATCGCCCTCATCGGGTACCCGGCCTTCGTCTTCCTGGTGAGCCGGCGCCGGCCTGCCTGGGTTCTGGGCAAGCCCAGGAGGGAGCGGCAGGCGGGGTGCCCGCTAAGCCCAGTGCCCCCCCAGGACGAGCCCACCACGGGCATGGACCCCAAGGCCAGGCGCTTCCTCTGGAACCTCATCCTGGACCTCATCAAGACGGGGCGCTCCGTGGTGCTGACCTCGCACAGGTGTGCCCCCCGCCTGCCCTCTGACCGCCCCGCCCTCTGCCCTCTGCCCCGTGCCAGCCTGTGCCCTCGCCCGCAGCATGGAGGAGTGCGAGGCGCTGTGCACGCGGCTGGCCATCATGGTGAACGGGCGGCTGCGCTGTCTGGGCAGCATCCAGCACCTGAAGAACCGGTGAGGCGCGGCGGGCGGCGGGCCGTGGGTGGAGGCGGCGGCCGTGGGTGCGGGCGGCGGCCGTAGTGGGGGTACGGGGTGGCCGCTCTCGGCAGTGCGGCTGTGGCCATGGGCCCGTCCGGCAGGTTCGGGGACGGCTACATGATCACCGTGAGGACCAAGAGCAGCCACAACGTGAAGGACGTGGTGCGGTTCTTCAACCGGAACTTCCCCGAGGCTGTGCTCAAGGTGGGGGACCCAGGCCGGGGGGCGGGGGGCACGGCCAACGCAACCTCTGACCTCCCGACCCCGCCCAGGAGCGGCACCACACCAAGGTGCAGTACCAGCTGAAGTCGGAGCGCATCTCGCTGGCCCAGGTGTTCAGCAAGATGGAGCAGGTGGTGGGCGTGCTGGGCATCGAGGACTACTCGGTCAGCCAGACCACGCTGGACAACGTGAGTGCCGGGCGGGCGCCGGTCCGCCCCCCGCCCCTCACCCCCTTACTCACCCCTCACCCCCCCACTGCCTGCCTCCCCGCCCTCTCACCCCCCCACCCGCCCCTCTGCCCCCAGGTGTTCGTGAACTTTGCCAAGAAGCAGAGCGACAACCTGGAGCAGCAGGAGACGGAGCTGCCCTCGGCCCTGCAGTCCCCGCTGGGCCGCCTGCTCAGCCTGTTCCGGCGCCGGCCCGCCCCCACCGAGCTGCGGGCGCTGATGGCCGACGAGTCCGAGGACCTGGACACGGAGGACGAGGGCCTCATCAGCTTCGAGGAGGAGCGGGTGAGCCGGCCGGAGGGGTGGTGGCCGGGCTGCAGGGGCTGCGGGCGGGGCCGGGGGCCGGAACAGGCTGAGCAGGCGGCTCAGCGGGCTCCCGGCCCGACTCCGGGACAGAGGGACCCCGTGCTCGGGACAGACCGCCCCCGGCAGACAGGCCCCCACAGACCCTCGAGGCCGGGAGGCTGGGAGAGGCCTCGGGGAAGGCAGGCAGGGGTGGGGGCACCGGGCTGAGCAGAGGCCGCCCCCCTGGGCGAGGGCGGGGAGGGGGAGAGCATGCCCGGACCTGGGGCCAGGGGTCGGGCACTGCTGGGTGCCGGGTGCCGCCCTAACCGTCCTGTCTGCCGTCTGCCAGGCCCAGCTCTCCTTCAACACGGACACGCTCTGCTGACCACCAGGCACGGCTCAGTTCCCCCCGGAGGGGTGGAACTCGGGGGACAGAGCTGGCCCGGTGCCCGCCCAGCAGGCCCTGGAGGGGGAGGTCCAGGACCAAGGGCTCCAGCCCCTGCCCCGGGCCAGGGCCGCCCTCCCCGCATTGTGCCAAAGGCCGCCCGGCCGGCTGACACCCTCCCCCCCTCTGCCTTAAGCCTCAGCCTCGGCCGGAGCCCAGCTCTACCCGCCCAGCTCGCCCCCCACCCCCCACCCCGGGGCCACCGGGGTGACGCTGCCGGGTGTGCCCGCCCCTCCTGGACCCCCTTCTCTCTGACGACCCGGGCCTGGGCCGGAACTCAGGGGCTGCATCCCGGCCCCGGGCACCCACCTGCTGGGGTTCTGGAAGGGGCGCCAGGACCTGCTTTCGTGCTGGGGGTCCCCCCTGTGGGCCGGGCAGGGGCTGCTGGAGGCAGCAGGCTGGGTACCAGGGATGGCGAGGCCGGCCCCAATGGCCAGGAGAGGACAGGGGCCCCGCCTGCCCCCGGCTGTCACTGCTCCCCACCCAGCCGCCGCCTGCCGCCTGCAGCTGGAGCTGTATGCAGCGCACAGATGTTTGTTTTAAGTAAATAAACAGAAAAGGCCACTCGAGCGTTGTGTCTTGGGGTGACGGGCCCTGGGGACTCAGGGCACCAGCCTGTGGGGGAGGGGCGGGCGGGCAACAGGTCGGCCGGGGGAGGGGGCTCCCACCCCCCAGGCCCTGGCACTGCGGTGGGGAGACCAGGCAGGGGCTGTCCACGGCTCCCCCAGCACCCTCAGCCTGGGCTCCCGCGCTCGGCACCCAAGACGATGGGGTCCTCATGTGCGAGGCTGGGGCAGGCCCTGTGAGGCCTCCCGTGCCCCCTGCCGGGCTCGGGGCCGTGGCGGGCTGGGGTCCGAGGCGGGCGGGGCTGGCTGCCCGGCTCCTCCAGGCCGGCTGTGGGGGGCTCCCAGGGGGAGGGGGACAGAGAGGCTGAGACCCACGTCGGGGAAGGAGCGTGTGCGAAGCTGGTGCCGGGCACGGGGACCTTCCAGGGCTCCCTCCCAGGGGGTGGTGGTCAGTCCTCCCCCTCGGGTGCTTCTGGGACACAGGCCCCCGGAGGGCGGGGTGCATGGCGGGCTTGTCCTTGTCGCCCAGGGGGGATGCGGGGGGCCCTGTCCTGCCATCTCCCGGGCACTTCCTCCCACAGGGACCCTCTGCCTTCACAATAGCCCCACGGCCCCGTGGGATTTGACCCCTTCTAGATTGGCCCCTGCATCTGATTAAAACACAGGGTACTTACCTCAGCTTCCAGGAGAAGACCTGGAGGCTAAGGCAATTTTCCCTTGCCTGGGACCAGGACCACGAGAGAATGACTCCAACTGACTCAGTAGCTTTAGGGATAGAAACTGTAGATAACCTTTAGAGACTAACTGCTGAGCTCTGCTTCTGTGTTATCGCTATCGCAAGACAGGACCACATTCCCACGTCCAGCAGGACGTGACTGGAACCGACCCTGCTGGCTGTCCCCAGTCTTTAGAATTTAGTCTTTAGGGTTTTAGGAACAAAAGGAAAATTCTTGAGGTTTAAACCTTTAAAAGGAATTGTCTACCCATGAAACGGTGCAGTCGTGTGGAGACCACTTGTGTGTGGTGCTCTCAGCGCTGTCCTGGCCAGTTCAATAAATCCTTGCCTGCTTTTTTTTTTTTTTTTAAATTAATTAATCAGCCTCCGGTGGTCTTATTTTGAACCCAGGGTTTGACCCCACATCAGGATGGCCTATAGGTGGCCTGGGGGTGGTGTGGGGGAGGCCTGGGTGTGGTCTGGGGGTGGTGTGGGGTTGACCTGGGGTTTGTCTGGGGTGGCCTGGTGGTGGTCTTGGGGTGGTCTGGGTGTGGTCTGGGTGTGGCCTGGGGGTGGCCTGGGGTTGAAATATAGTGACAACCATACTTTGGTAAAAACTGCTATTTGAATTTTAACCCTCCTATTAGGTCTAGTAATAATTAATGTCGTTTTCTAATACTTTTTTAAATCGAATTTATTTAAACAATACAACAAAATTTAATCAACAATATAGTTGCCGTTGTTTTCTACTACTTGTGCCCAACGCTCAGGAAGCATTTTAATCCCTCTGTTGTAAAATTCTTGTGGTTTTGATGCAAAAAATTCGGTCAATGCATTTTTGAGGCATTCTTCATTATTAAACTTTTTTCCAAGAAGAAAGTTTTGCAAAGAACGAAACAAATGGTAA